AAAGATATCACATCTTCAGATCATTCCCATCAAGATATCAATGTCACCACTGCATCACAAGGTACAACTATTTTTTATTTCTCACTCACACTCCTACTCTTTTTTGTGTATATCCTATTTAAATGTTCAATGTTTCTTTATAATTTTTGCCAAGGTTATTAATCTTTTTACTTAATTAATTGAAGAACTAAGCTTTAAGATGAAGTCTAAATCCTGCAGCAATATAAAAAATCTAAAGAGGAAAAAAATGTAAATAAAAAAAAAATCTAAACATTACAATATTAAAGCGGGTCCTATAAAATTTTTAGTGTCTCATTATTCCGTCATATTTTTTGTAAATACTGATTAACTAAAAAGAACTATATTATTTGTATTATACTTTTATACTTATATAAGACTATTTTTCCTTTATCATATATTAAATATTTCATCCCATTTTTTTATCCTGTTCAATATTAAATTTTATTATTAAAAATTAAAATATAGTTTTTTCTTATATAGAAGAGTTTAATATAATTTAGACTTTTCTAAAAGATAACCACATCAAACATCTTTTAAGAAAAAAAAAATGCACTCGAGTTTATATATATAGTTGAAGTGGGTGAAATGTTGGAAAAATAATTTATATTGTTTGTAGTTTAATTAACGATGAAAGAGTTATAGGATCATCATTAAAAGTATGCATCTTTATTATCTATCATGTTAATTTCCTTCTTTCACTCTTGTGTTTGTATTTTGTAAGGTGATACAACATAATTTGCTTTATATTTTTCAATCATCACTCAAGAGAGAGATATCTTGTGAAACTTACCTTAATACTAGATATATTATATTTTTTTTCTTGAATTTAATTAGTTGAAGTTTTAAAAAAAGATGATAGATTTTCTTTTTGTCTACATCTCTTGCATTAATGCTTTAGAAATGGATGGTGGTGGTGCAAGTACATCATTAGCTGCTTTATTTGAAGGTACGCATTCTAGTTAGAATTCCATTTTTTTTTCTTTTTCTTGTTTTCACATAGCTGTTTTTATCTTTTATTTAGGTGATGGAACATTAATGTATTTTTATTTTATTTCAATTGTCAAATTTATTTTCACCAATGAAGATTTACGTTTCATTACTATGTATTTTAAACTCTCGCTTATATAAACTAATGAAGATTTATTTCAGTAATATATACTATTTTGTCAAATTTATTTTCACCCAATGAAGATTTTACGTTTCATTACTATGTATTTTAAACTCTCGCTATATATAGTTATATATAATATATATATATATTATATATGATATATATATATATTAGTCTATCTCATGGACTACTGTTGGTTTATTTAAGTATTCGTGAGGTAATTGGTAATAAAAAATTTGACTAAAATTATTAGTAAAGGAAAAATCTATTGACTAAAGAATTAAATATAATAATTTTAACCGAATATTTAGCTTAAAAAATATGTATACTATTTTGATAAAGTAATATATATTTCAGCAATTATTTTGATGTAATATATTATAAATCGAAGAATTTCTTTTAAAAATCCTTATTTAAATAGATTTCACTTCTAATATATTATCTTCTTAATTAATACTAACTAAAATGAAAAGTTAACAAAGTACTGTTTAGTGAGATTTTGTAATATGTATTATTTTTCCTTTGTTTGAATATGGCAACACTCTTAAATGAATTAAGATTCACCAAAACAATGAAACAGGTAACGAAGAAGAATATGATAATGGTGTTTTAACTACTTTGCAAAGTAAATTAGATGAGTTGAGGTCCGATCTAACACGTGAAGAAAAGGAAATTCAGGGACAATTACAATTGCTGGAGTCACATGGCAAGAAGTGCAAGAGAAAGGTTGCCCTTTGGTTGAATGAAATACAAAACATCAAACAAAGAGCTATTGATATGAAAGATTCCCTGAATCAGTTTGGGTGCTCTGACTTTTATGTGCCACAAGGAGAAATGTATTCGGCTGAAGAATCACAAAAGAAAATAGAACATTTGACTGAAGAAATTCAAAAGCATAAGAAATTGAAGCCTCTGGTGTTGTCTAATGAATATGTTGGTAGGAAATTTGAGAAAAATGTTGAGACGTTGTGGAAGCTTATGAGAGATGATCGAGTTTTCATCATTGGCATATATGGAATGGGGGGAGTGGGGAAAACATTCCTAGCAAATTACATGCAGAGTGAGATAAAAAGGACCAAAACTTTCGAGGATGTCTTATGGGTCAATGTTCCTCGTTATTTTAACCTTGACAATTTGCAAGAGTTGATTGCAAAAATGATAAAGGTAAAGTTTTACTACACCTATAATGAGACGGATAGAGCAATCATTTTGGCCAAAGAGTTAGAAAAAAGAAAAAACATAATACTTATTTTGGATAATGTTTGGAAATATGTTGATTTAGAAATGCTGGGAATTTCTCTTAGAATAAATGGTATTAAATTGATCATGACAAGTAGGTTGAAAGATGTCTTCCAACAGATGGATTGTCTGTCAATTAATATAATAGAAGTGAAGCCTTTCTATTATTATCATCATTATAATTCCTGTGATATTTATTATCGTAATGATTATGATGATGATTCTGATGAAGATGACGATAAATATGATGAAGCTTGGAAGTTATTTTTGCTGAAACTTGGATCCTATGGGACACCCTTAACACTTTCCCCTGAAGAGCGGAATAGTGCAAGATATGTTGTAAAGGAGTGTGATGGTTTACCCCTTGGAATCAGTGTGATGGCTCAATCCATGAAAGGGAAAACTAATATCCATTGGTGGAGACATGTGTTAAATAAATTTGACAAATTGGAAATGGGAGTAGAGATGCAGCAAAAAGTTTTCACTACATTAAAACATAGCTATTATAATTTAAATGAAGAGGACTGGCAAAAGTGTTTCTTGTACATTGCATTCCTACCTAATTTTATGCATAGAAACTCTTTGATTCAGAAGCTTGTTGATACAGGACTATTAGAGCAAAACAGGAGTTTGCAACAAATATTTGACGAGGCAAATGTCTTAGTGGATAAGCTCGTTAACGATTCTTTATTGGAGGCGAACAAGGAGAAGGAAATAAAGCATCTTTCATCAAATAAAAATGATTTGGTTCTATCAATGCATGGTTTAGTGAGGAAAATGGCGTTGAATATCTGGAAGGAGAGAGTCAGTAACATGATGATAAAATGTAATGGAAATATGACAAAAATACCTTACACTGATAAATGGGCAATTGATTTGGAAGTAGTTTCTCTTGCTCATAACAATATACAAGTAATTCCAGAGAGCACATCTCCAAATTGTCCACGTCTCTCGACCTTGCTTTTATTTGAAAATTCCATTGACCATATTCCAGAGTGTTTCTTCGCTCAGATGAATGCTCTAAAGACACTTGATTTATCAAAAAATAAATCCTTAACATGTTTGCCTCGTTCGCTATCTAATTTGAGGTCTCTCACTTCTTTAATGCTCCATGAATGTTCAGAATTAAAGGATATACCTCCACTGGGAGAGCTACATTCATTGTTAAGGTTACAGATTTCAAGTTGCTCCATCAAAGCACCACCGCAAGGTTTGGAAAATCTAATAAACTTGAAATGGCTAGATCTATCCATGAATAAGAATTTGAAGTTAGTACCAGGAAGTTTTCTCCCTAGTTTGACAAAAATTCATTACCTTGATCTTTTGGGTTGTGCAGGAGGTATAGGAGTAGAAGATGTAAAGGGTATGACTATGCTGGAATGTTTTGCAGGAACATTTATCCTTCAGGATAATTACAAGGATAATTTCACCCGTTATGTGCAAGAAATCTTAGACAGTGCTAATGGACTTCAAACTTATTTCATTAATCTAGACAATAAGAGTAAGATGTCTACTTTAATTGAATATCCTTTTTCCAGATTTAAGGATAGAACTATGGGTTTTAGTGATTGCAAGGAATTGAGACATTTTCTCCCGAGAGATCTTCTGAAATTAGAATTGAAGTACAATGATTATTGGGTATGTTTATGTTATGGTCTGTTATCATGTGGTAATTCTCTTTTGGAGGAAATTCGCATTTATGATTGGAAAAAACTCTGGAGCTTGTTTTGTTCATCTTGTTACTTATGCACCAATTTGAAAAACCTTCAATCTTTGAACCTTAATTGTTTGGAGAGTTTAACTGTCATTTGCCAGAAATTGCCTGAGAGTGACATGTTCTCTCATCTCAAAACCTTGTGTGTCCACAAATGTCATGAAATGAAGATTTTGCTGACATCAAAATTTGTGCAACAACTTCAAAATCTAGAGTCTATAACTGTGTCACACTGCAATTCAATTGAACAAATATTTGAAGATGAAGAAGATGATGAAGGTGATAGTAACAAAATTATACTACGTAAGTTGACCTGGTTGAGCATCACATATTTACCGCAACTAAAGACCGTGTACAAGGGAATTTTAATTTGTAAATCTGGATTTAAATCCTCCATAGATAATTGTCCCCAATTATGTAAACCCGGAACAGAGTATGTGGTTTCATGATTGTCCCAAATTCAAATTAAGTGAACCCAAAATATGATTGTGAAATTGTTTTAGGAATTTTTCTTTTATTCAATACTCTATGCTTTTCAGAAGTTTCATTCAAATAGAAAAATGGCAAGTGCAAGATGTTTTCCTTTTTTTCTGTTATGTGTGGTGGTGAGATCTTTGTCATCAAGATTGTATCAAAGAAACATTTCCAAGAAGTTAGAAAACAAAACCAGACACCAAGCTTCAGAAATTCAGTTGATATAAAATGCAAATCTAGATTATTTATACACCAAAAAAAGAGAGACTGTTCTTATTAAAAACTGAAACTATAACAGCATAAGCATCAATAAAAAAGGTGAAAGATGAGATTTTAATATCACTCTAGGGCATTGCTGAATAAAAAGAAATATCCAGGTGAAAGAAAAGCACATTAAAAAAGATGTCTCCTTATTATTTTGGAGGCTAAGAGTAAGAAAAGAGTGTAGGAAAAGGTGTGAACGCAGGTAGATAGCATGCAAGAAGGAAGAGAGTTGTTATGAGCATGACACACATAGGTTAAGGGTTGTATATTCCTCTAATCTGCCTTTTTGTGGTTGTGAAGTGTTCATTAAACTGGTGTATCATGTTTAACAAGAGGAGGTAAATTCCAATTAGAAAAAGTCAATCAAAGTTAGCTCACGTAGCTTTTGCTCACTCTTCACTTTTGATCATGCATAGTCAAACGACATTTAAATTAGTTTAACAATATATCTAACAGAAAACTATATTTTAAAAGTCTGAGCATTTTTGTAGGAAATCACTTTTGAAGGCTAACATTTATTTTTCTGAATCTTAGTCTTATGGGAAATTGTGAGGGTTGGATTCCTGAATATCATAAGGATCCTATTTATTTAGAATTTAAGCTTCAACGTGTTTGGTTTGGAGACAGTGAGGAACTCCCCTATTTGCTTCCAAGAGACCTTGAGGCATTTCTTATCTAGTAATATCTAAAACCTCCAACCTTTTATTCTTAACGATTTAAAAAGTTTAACTGTAAGGAAAATGTTGATTTAGCACAAGACAACAGTTTCAACATTACTCTCTCCAAGTTTATCACTTTTCAATTGTTTCATTTTACACAATTGAAGATCGTGTCTAAAAGAATCTTAGTCAGTGAGTCTGAGATCGAAGATTCGTGATTGCCCCAATTTAGAGAGGTTTCCTAAAATATAACTGAAAATAGTTTAATTATTGTGGTGTGCCTCAACCATTGACTACAAACTATATATAAATCAAAGTATATTTTCTAACAGCACTTCGAATATGAATCTTAATCAAGTTTAGCCATTACTATTTTTATCTTAACTATAAATTAATCTAATATATATTTTTTTAAAATAATTATTTGTGATCCGCTGGACACGACATAGACGCAAACCCAAATTGTCCCCCGCTATGTTCACACAATGAGATTGAGAGAATCTCATTAAGTTCAAACAATCACATTTAACAGAAGAGATACAAACATTTGGATACAATCAATTTTCAAGGGAGGTAGCTAAAATCCAATATCTAAACTCTAGCTACACTATCTAATGCCTAAAACTATCAACAAATAATACCATATGTTCCATCCAAACATTCATGATAAGGCTTAATAGCATTGACGGCCTTTATTTTCGTAAGGTTTTTTTTTTCTGTTCAATTTTGTTCTAAAAAATGTAATTTATGTTCAATTTAATTCTTTTTGCAGACGACGCTTAAATCGTTAATGATGCAGTGTCCAGTTATGCAATCAATGACACATCACCCTTGACACGTCGTCATCATCTCCTACTTCTAGAAACCCTAATTTTCCCTACACAGAAACCCTAGCCACCACCTAACCCTAACCGTCGCCGCCACGGTCACGACCAGTCACATCTTCGCACCTTCATCATCTTCTCTGTCCAACAACCACCCAAAAACACCACCCATGGCCACCTACCAGCACCTTCATTGGCGCCACTCATGCATCCAACAACAACCACCACGGAACCTATTATCGCAAATCAAATGAACTCAAAACGAAAAAACAAGTTCATGGAAAAAGATCAAGAAATGACCACCCCTAATCGTGATCACCAGAACCAACATTCTTCCAAACAATAAATCAGATACATACTCCAAAAGAAAATTCCAAGTTCGGAATCCCTAACATTCTCAATCTGAACCCTCATCCCCCACTTTGCAAAACCCAGACTTGTAGGGAAGAACAACATCCCTAACCACTCACAAAACAGAGAAGAACCAAGAATTTTCCAAATCAATTTTGAAATGAAAATCATATATTCCAATTTACAAAAACCAGATAACACAACAAAAACTCCCAAATTGAAACCCTCAATCGCGAATCATATTGCCGCGAAACCGCTTGAGAACGTTGGGCTTCTCACATCGCGACTTCGTCGGAGATTGAGCCCAACCCTCACCGCATCGTGAGAAAGGAGTTTGCTCTCGTTTCTGTGAAACTCCAACAGATCCACTATGGTCAGTCGCAAACTTCAGTTTTCCTCTAGTAGCGCAGGCGTAAGGAAGCAGGTCAGCAGTTAAATGACATGACATTTACTTATTGCACAATTGGACAGTCCGTCGTTAACGATTTAAACATCCTCTACAAAAATGACTAAATTGAACATATATTACATTATTTAGGACAACATTAAATAGAAAAAAAAACTAAAACTATTTCGAACAAACCTAACAAAAATAGGGACCAGTGCTATTAAGCCTCATGATAACATACACAGAAAAATAGGGACCAGTGCTATTAAGCCTCATGATAACATACACAGAAAAAAGATAGAGAAATTCAATTACCTCTCCTAAGCACTACCCCTCGTGGTTATAATTCAGAAATCTACATCCAATTGTTAATACAAGATAACTTCCGACATCATCCCTTAAAGTTGATGAGGTCAAGATACCAAGAAGCATGTGGAGTTATGTTGTAAAAAAATTCCAAAGCTTCTTCCGTGTTGAAGCTTCAATGGGTTGTTGGTAATCTTCGTCATCCTCGTTCTGAACTCCACCGACATTTTCCTATGGGATTCACTCCTATACTCACCTTCATTCTCCTCCGCAATCATCTGATGTTTCATTCACCTCCTCACTAAGGTTATATTGTTTGGGAAGGTCCCTTAGGTATCACCACCATAACCGTTCCTTATCTCAACTCCTTTAATAGACTGCAATAATGACATGCAATTAACATTAGCTTCATACTGTTCACCACAATAAACAGACAGTAAACTGAAAGCCAAAACTTGCTGAGATCCAAATCCTATTACTATCAATTTTTAATGTGTATTAGGAAATCAGAATTCTTAATGAGTAAGACAAATTCTCGGATGAACTTTATTAGAAACCGAACAACACTGTTCTACCAAAGTGATAAATACAGGAAACATCTACACACAAGAGGATGTGTCTCTCCTGATTTCCCCTTTACAACCAACTAAAACCTGCCCACCAAAACCTAATATAGACAAATATAATAGATAATTACACAAGAGGACACGTCTCTCCTGATTTCCCCTTTACAACTAACTAAAAACTGCCCACCAAAACCTAATATAAACAAATGTAATAGATAATTACACAACACCACTACAAGAGGTTATAACTACCTTCCAAGGTTACAACTACTTACTTCCTTTATTTCGTATTTAACATAAACCTTGCCACTAAGGCTGTGCAGGCTAGGCCTGACGCTGGGCGAGATCAACTTCCTAAAGTGATGGATTAACTCCTTTGACTCCTTTTCCCTTTTCCCTCTTTAGATGATTCTTCAAGTCTTTCTTCCTATGATGCAATTTGATAGACCTTTGATTATAGTTTAGGCTTGGATCCAAGTCATCACTAAGCTTAACCTTAAAAATGTCTAAGACATTTTTTATTACATGCTAGACATCTTACTCATTTTTATTCGACGCAGGGATTCAAACTCCATAAATCCAAATAATCTCTGTCATACCCTAATCATAACCATAACCCTAACTATAATAATAACCCTAAATAGGTCTATGACATTTTTTACTTAAATACTAGTCATCTTACTCATTGTTTACCTTATGCAGACTCCAAGAATCCTCATAATTTGCACCTCATACCCTAACCTTAACCCTATCCTAACCCTAACACTAACCCTAATAATAACCCCTAACCCTAATCCTAATCATAACCCTAAATAAGTATATAGGTATTTTTACTTACATAGTCATCTACTTATTTTTAACTTGATGTGGAGCTTCAAACTCCATAAATTGTCATAATTTTTTCTATAACCTTAATCATAATTCTAAACCTAATAATCTCCTCTTCATACCCTACTTCTTTCCATAACCCTAGGTCATAGAGTATTCATACTTAGAAAAAGGAAGAGCAACTTTTCAAAAGAAAAGTTAAAATTTGAAATGATATTTGGAAAAAAAATTAAAGGATTGAAAATCTTTCCTTATAAGTTATTCTCCAAATTTCATCTAGACTTTTAATGAATATCTTTCCCTCTTGAATAAGTTTTTCCATTAGTTTTTGTTTCTCTCAAATGAAGGAAGAACAAAATTTCTTCTTAGGGAATTTTCTACCTTTTTTATACTAAATTGTCTATGTTCTTCAAATCTAGAAATAATATATTAAATAGGATTTACTATTTCTAATAACTCATCAATTTTCCTCTCCCATGTTTTACCAAAGAATGAAATATATCTCTTAACTTGACTCCATCCATGTTCTTAACCCATGTTCTTATTTTCCTTAAGTCACCATAAATTGAGCTCTGAGTTCTTTTATTTCAAAGTGATGATTTTCTCATAATGACTCTCTATGGTGAGATTGAACATCTTTTAATTTTAAAAGTGTATTCCTGTTATGTAGTAAGATATTTTATCTTAAATATTATATTTATCACATAAAATATCTAAGATATTTATAAA